AGGCGTCAGGCCTGGGCAAGGGGCCGATCCTGCGATTGGAGGGTGATGGGGTCAACGCCTGAGGGCTCCCAGTATGTGAGAGAGGGCAGGCTGGGCTGAGGGACACTCCCCCCCCCACACACACACCCAATGCATGATTTCGTGCACCGGGCCCCTAGTATAAAATAATGCAAATTATGACTGTGGTGAAATCCTGTTCACCTGTGACATTGCAAAATAAAAAGGTTTGATAATACATTGTTTAGAAGGGTGTTGGGAATCAGATACTCATTTAATGAACAAGAGTGTAATTTGTAGATATGAAAATGCATATAACCTCCATGAAAAACAGTTTGGCAATACCTTCCAAAACTTAAAGTGCACATAACTTTAACCTAGAACTTTCTCTTGAAGTACTTTATCCTCAAGTATCTGTGCCCATTTGCAAGGATATTCACTCTAGTATCATGTATTTTAATAATAAAGGATTGTCAGTAGGCATTTGTAAAGATGTACCATGTAATTCCATTCAGTCACTAAAAACCAGTGAGCTAAGAACCAAACAGATGAGTAATGGGACTGCCGCATGCGACCAGTTGCATTTTTTAAAACTTCCACAAATACATTCATAGATGCACAAAGTTACATATATATAAAGCTTTCTTTGGTAGGATACCTAGATTTAACCTTCATAGAGGAGAATAAGTAGCTGGGCCACAGGGATAGGAGGAAGGCCAATATTAAGTGTAAAAGATGTAATTTTTAAATAGATAGATAGATAGATAATTTTAATTGATTTCCAAGAGGAAGGGAGAGGGAGAGAGAGATAGAGACATCAATGATGAGAGAGAATCATTGATATGCTGCCTCCTGCATACCCGCTACTGGGGATTGAGCCCGCAACTCAGGCATGTGCCCTGTCCTGTAATCAAACTGTGACCTGGTTCATAGGTTAATGCTCACCCACTGAACCATTGCCAGCTAGGCTAAAAGATGTAATTTTTTACTTAGTTTTTGTACTTTTGAATTCTATCTCATGTACTTGTCTTATTTATTCAAAAGAAATAAACATCTATATATACAAAAGGCTAACATGCTACATATCCTTCCCACCGTCCGACCAGTTGCTATGATGTGCACTGATCACCAGGGGGCAGACACTCAATGCAGGAGTTGCCGTGACGCAAACTAGCCATTTACAGAGAAACAACAGTGTGGACCTGGCTGACAAAGCAACACTCGGCTTCCCCCAAGTGGAACACAGGCCCCGCCACCACCCTGGAACTACAGCCCACCAAATCGCAGCCAGTGCTGCTGAGACCCCATGGCCAGTCCGGAAATGGTCACTGTGGGCGCCGGGTAATGATGTCACGTAGCAACCCCTGGCTTCCTCTCCCTAGCGACTAGCCTCCTTGCAGTTTCTTCGGCCCAAGAACACAACTTGCTTTATACCCAGGTGGAAACATTTACACTTTAACCAAATGTCTGTGAAGCGTTTTCCTGTTCCTCATCTCATTTGATCCTCACAGAAGTCCTGGAGTAGGTAGATAGGAGACTTGGTGGAATCCTATTTTCTTTTCATTAGCCGGAAAACAGAGATTTAGAAAGCTTAGAAACTTGACCCGACTGAAAAGAAGTAAGAAATGGTGGACCTTGAAATAACTTCAGGTTTTCTCGCTGCGCAAAATATAGTCAAACTCTGCTGCAGTTAAATATTTTACCCTTTGTTCTACCTGCATGATCTACAATAATCATCTGCTTCGTGTTGATATTTACTGCTGTGTTGTTGACAATTACCTGAAAGAGAAGTTGGGGTGCTTCACTGGGCTGGAAAAAGTTTAGCTAAATCAGAAAGCAGGTCTAATTAAGCAAGTTTATTCTGCTATATCTTTAAAGCATGACTTGCGCATGCACAATACATATAAAGCTCTCACTAGCGCCAATCACACGCGTGTATTTCCATCTGTCATTGTTGATCGTGAATTTGGTTGACATTTCTATTATAGAGAAAGGGCGAATAGTGATATTAAAATATTTCTTCTAATTAATTTCCTTTCAATGTGCACGAATTCCTGCACCAAGCCACTAGTTTTAAATAAATTAATATTGCTAGGAAATACTATATCCTGGCCCCCTAATGCTATAGTTGAGCAAACTGACACACAGAGAAGACCAGACCAGGGCCCTGAATGTGTATAGAGATGATTAGCAGTATTGAGACCTGGATTCTAATCCTGATTCTGATATATGACTCTTAATAAGTTATTTTCCTTCTGTGAGTCTCACCTTTCTCATTTGTAGAATAAGGAGTAGGACTCACCTTCCTTTGTCTTCCATCATTAGTTTTCAAACTGATTCATAGAGCCCAAGGATTTTTTTCAATTCCTTTAGGGGTCTTAAACAGGTGGTTGGGGTTGTAGTGGTTGCCAGTACACCTGTCTTTAACCAGAGCATCCCTGGACCTCTGAGTAAGATTGAGTTTAACTAAATGTTTTGAAACTTTTTTAATAGTCTGAAAATCACAGTCCACAGTAAAGTCACCATATATATTAACTTAAAGATTCTCAGTGTCAGTGTCAAAACACATTATTGTATTATGATCAACTGTGAAGTAGCCTCAAGAAATTTTAAATCCTATATAATAAAAGCCTAATATGCAAATTGACCAAACAGCAGAACAACTGGTGGAATGACTTGTCACTATGACATGCACTTACCACCAGGGGGCAGACACTCAACTCAGGAGCTGCCCCCAGCCCACAGGCCCCAGGCCAGACAAGCAGAGGGAGGCAGCTGGTGGCAGTGTGAGGGGTGGGGCTGGCGAGCAGGCAGAGCCAGGCCGGCCAAGGCAGGTGCCCCCACAGATCATCCCTGATCTCTGGCCAGGCCTAGGGACCCTACCCATGCACGAATTTTTTGCACCAGGCCTCTAGTCCTATATAGTAAAGAGCTAATATGGTAAATAGGCCTAACAGCAGAACGACCATTCAGACAACCTTCCGGAGGAAGCCGGGGCCGCGAGGACTGATGTAGCCGGGGCTGTGAGGGCCAAGCCCCTTGTATGAATTTCGTGCATTGCGCCTCTAGTTTTAAAATAAATGCCAACCTCACATTTCTGTATGCTCTCTTAAGCTGGAAGGAGGTAGGAGGTAGTATATTCACATGAAGGATGTAAAGTCTGTTATATGCTATAGTTGTGTCAAGGCATTGTTGTTGTAGAGCCCTGAATGGTTTTTCTTTGGGCTGGTGGAGTGGAATATAATATTTGGCTCTGTGGCTAATACATGGTTTTTAGTCAGTTAATGCCTTCCTCCCTCCCTTCCTTCTTTAATACTTTCTGGAGCTGGGAAAATAAAAGGTACAAAGGGATAAATTAAGCAAATGGCAAGTCAGAAACAAGTTCATTACTCTTTCTGAAGCTTAGTTTAATTTGAGAACCTAAATTTCAGACTTAAATGCACAATGAGACACTCTTTGAGGACGTTGTAAAGGCAGATATGGGTGTGACTGTTTTCCTTCTAGCAGTCAAAAGATGGTGGTGATGAAGGATTCAGGAATGAAGTTACCTAACCAAGTCTTTTTGTTTTTTTTAAGGGGAGTGAACAGAAAGATCAAATGTTTACCCAGCAACAGTAAATTCATGATATAACTACTTAAGAACTGATGATTCCTGGTAAAAAACATAATAGAAATGCAGGTCTAAAAATCAGCAAGAGGAAGAAGCAGGAAAGTATAGTTTATACTTGTTGGCACTTAAAGCCAATGTTATGTGTTTTTAAAAGTAGATGAAAAACAATTTGTGTTATATGTGCATGTAAATGTGTTTATATAAAATCTTGAAAACAAACCAAAGTGTTCATTACTATTAGGATGATGGGAGTTTGAGAGATTTTTATTTTCTTTTATCTGTATTTTTTCACTTTTCTACAAAGAATACATATTACTTAGGTACTCAAATGCTGTTATTTATTATATAAACACACAAATGCATAAAACATTTGTTATCTGTCCTGACTGTAGGTGTGTCTTTGTATTTTCTAGGTGCACCAGAGGCTTTCTTGGCAGAATTTGAGTGTTGCTTATTGCAGTACTGTTGTGCCCTCTGATGGTGAGTTTTGGCAAATCCATTTTTTATGTCTAATGTATTTGTCCCCCTTAAGTCAACTATACTTTTTTACTTAAAATTTGCTTAGAGTCAGAGAAATAAGGAAGGTCCTAAAGAAGAGAAATTAAATTTGAAAGAGGATCTAATGAATTTAGAGGAGAAATCAGTAAGAAAAACTAATAGGCCCATTAAGTTTTCAGAGATATGGAATATTACTTTTTTTCTTTTAAACTGGGGACATAGTTAATGTGAAGATCCCAGAAGCACTATCTTTGGTATTTCTTCACCATTGGGTCTTCAGATATGGATAATACTAAAAAAACTCCAGCCCCTTTGCAGTATCAGAGCCTACAGGGAAGCAACTGAAAGTCTGAGACCTCCCCCCTCCCTTGTCTTTTTCTTCCATTAGACTCAAAGCTGTAATACCCTTCTTTGATGTGGAAAAGAATGAACAGATGCTTGAGGACTGTATATGGTCCTTTGTAAATATCTATGATGCTACCAACTGGCAACAGGATCTAAGTTTTGGTTGTTTAGAGGAGATATGTTTACTACTCTCGGTCATTTCTCTTACCCAATATTGAACATTGACAGTTTAGATTATTTGCTTAGGGTTGACTGTTAAATATATTCCCTCTGTATAAAGTTTAGTTTGATAGAACTCTAATTTCAACCTTATAAGCATTAATTCTGAGGTAGAGCAACCAATCCTGCAAATTTGTAAGGATACCTGAAACTGAAGAAACCCAGATCAACTATGAAATTCCCAGGATCCCCTGTATTTAATCAGTATTGATATTTGCAGTGTTTTCAGAACCCCCTCCCAAAGTTGTTTAGTTATCTGAATATATGTGTTCATTTTTTGCTAAATTATCTAAACTTGGAGGAAATATCCATTTGTGAGTACTCAATTTGTAATATGAAAAGGTTGAAAGGAAAAATAGGCCAGAGTCAAAATCAGGAAAATAGTATCTGGCTTTCTTTATCCTATCTCTTAGAAACATTGAGAACTGACAAAGTAATATCCGTATATAAATTAAAAAGCAGCACTCAACGCTTTGTTACAGCTGAGGACAGGTAGGTATGTTGACCCCAGTCAAAAATCAGTATGTAGAGGCCAGTTTTTCCCACATGGCCAAAAGGCAGTGGACCATAATGCCACCTCCCCATGCCACCTACTTCGTTTCTTCCTTGAGCCCCTCCAAAACAGTGAATAGCTATCACTCTTAATCCTCACACTGTCTTGGCCCATTAAACATCCAAATGGATGCTGTCCACATCTATGCCAGCACCACTCCCAGGTCCTATTACCTTCATTACCACTACAGGGTAATAGCATTAGATAGTTTCAATAAAGAGAGGATTTCTCTCATTGTGTAAAATATTGTTCATAATATTGAATCTTCTCAGCTTTTGCTGAACTAAAAGCATTTCATTCAGAATTGTCTAGGTTTTATGATATTGTCTGACATTGTTATATATGTCAGTATATATTAATATGTATTCCATAAGTTATGTATAATCAATAGCAACGAAGTTACACTACAATGGGACAGTCATCTGCCAATGACTAAGATATTCAGAGGCAATTAACTTAAACTAATGAATTTATATTGAAATATATATTATTAATTTTACCACTTAGTGGAGTTACTATTATTATCCTATATACCAATCTGTATGGGAGTATTTCAGTAATACAACAATGGTACAGTTGTACTGCATGTTATCCCAGGACATAAATACTAGTAGATTGTCTCTATGTTGCATGAGGGGTTGAAGGTAATATTTTTCAAAAACTAAAAGGATACATATTTTTAAAAAGAATGACTTCTAAATTTCCCACCAATAAGAAAATAACTCATGTTAGTTATCAAGAAGTAGTAGCACAAAAGTATTTGATTTAATGCAACTCAGTGTTCTCACTACCACCAAATTATACACCTTTCTTATTTTGTACTTCTTAATTTTACCTTAGGTCAATATAGCATATGAAAAAACTCTGCTATTAATACACAGTGACTTTAATAGCGTTTAGTCACCAGTAATTAACAGCTCTACTATCATTCATTGCTCTTTGTTGTAACTGCTGGGTCTTCTTTTTTTTTTATCCTTAATCCTCACCCAAGGATATTTTTCCATTGATTTTTTTTTTTTTAGAGAGAGTGGAAGAGAGGGGGAGAGGCAGAGAGAAACATTGATATGAGAGAGAGACATTGATTTGTTGCCTCCCACACACACTCTGATCAGGGGACTAAGCCTGCAACTTAGTTATGTGCCTTTGACTGGAATCGAATCCGAGACCCTTCAGTCCTCGGGCCAATGCTCTATCCACTGAGCCAAACTGTCTAGGGCTGCTGGGTCAAATTCTATTATCAAATGAGGGCTTGACCCTAATGTTTTAAAAGTACAAAATCTAAAATACCACATTATATAATTATGATATTTATATACCTAGTATAAATACCTAATATTTACTGCCCCTTAGTAATTGCTTATTAATATGTTGTTTGGCAAATCTTCTATTATGGCAATGATAGCTGATATAAAATATAAAAATTATCTTAAATGTCTAACCTTCCTCCCAAAGCAATCTAAAAGGTTCTTATTTTTTGTATGTGCCATAAATATTTTTGAGGATCTGATATAAGCTCCAGATTCTTTCTCTAGAAAATTTATACATACACATAGGAAATTTTACATATAATTTCTTAGTGACCAGACTACCTTAAACCAATTCATAGACTCCCTAGTCTCATGGACCTGAACTCAAGAACTTCTCTGGATACATTGCATACAGGTACACATGCACATACCTGTACCCACAATCATGTTCCCTGTCAGGGGAGGATTGTGCTTAGAGGTAAGAGAAGAGCTTTGGAGTCAAACAGAGCTGGGTTTACATCTCACTTCCACCATTTAACCACCTTGTAACCTTAGGAAAGGTAATTAACTTCTTTAAAGTCTTTTCCTATCTGTGAAATGGAGATAGTATTATTTACCACCTCCAAGAGAAAAGTGCACTTAGCCTGCAGTAAGAGTACTTACCCACCAGAAACTCTTTTTCCTTAAAGGGTGGTTGTGGTAGTGTTACAGACGGCTAATCTAAAATATGTGGTTTGGAATTCTTATTTTAATTTCTCTGTGCCCCAGATCCTCAACTGTAAAATGGCTCACTGTGAAATGTTTATGTGATTAGCCATTAGGGCAGCTGTTCTCAACCTGTGGGTCGCGACCCCTTTTGGGGGTCTAACGACCCTTTCACAGGGGTCGCCTAAATAAGTCCTGCATATCAGATATTTACATTACTATTCATAACAGTAGCAAAATTACAGTTATGAAGTAGCAATGAAAATAATTTTATGGCCCTAACCGGTTTGGCTCAATGGATAGAGCGTCGGCCTGTGGACTGAAAGGTCTCAGGTTCGATTCAGGCCAAGGACATGTACCTTGGTTGCAGGCACATCCCCAGTAGGTGTGCAGGAGGCAGCTGATCAATGTTTCTCTCTCATCAATGTTTCTAACTCGCTATCCCTCTCCCTTCCTCTCTGTAAAAAATCAATAAAATATATTTAAAAAATAATAATGATTTTATGGTTGGGGGTCACCACAACATGAGGAACTGTATTAAAGAGTCGCAGCATTGGGAAGGACTAATCACTGCTGTAGGGGTTCCCTTCCTTATTAATGGAAGTAAAGAATGAGAGTAATTCCTCTATATACAGGGTCAGTGTATAATTTATCATCCAACCGAGGGCACTTTTGAGAGTGAAAAGGGACAACCAGAGTTGTCCTGACAATTTTTAATAGCGTAAGTCAGGACATATCTTCACCTTAGCTACAGAGAAAGTGCCAAAGGTGAGCTATAGTAAGAGCAAGGAAGAATAACTTCTTGTAGCTGCCTTCATTTCTCTTTACAGAAATGTAATGCTACTCAGTTAGTTCTGTATTGAATTGTGGTAGAGAGTTGTGTTTATTTTGTATTTAACAAAAAATATAAGAATTCTTTAAAAAAATGGTTTGAAGGCAAATAATTTTAGCAATGAAGGGTTATTGGAAATTCCTGTTTAATAATAAACAATCAACTATTTAATCAATCCAAGTATGGGTGATCTTATAAATTCTTAACCTAAGGTCTATGGATATTTTGGGGAATAAATACCTATCCCAGTTTTTTCCTTTGGTTTTTGTCCCATTACTGTTTTTAAAAAGCTTTATTGAGATATATGGTACATACCATAAAAGTCACCTATCACTCTGTAAGCATCATAAGAATCCAGCTATAGACGATGTGCTTCACCCCTAAAAGTTCCTTTGTTTCTGTTTTGCAATCAATCCCTGCTCCCATCTTAAGTCCCAGGCAACCACTAATATACTTTCTGTCTCTATAGTTAAACCTTTTCTAAAGTCATATAAATGGATTCATACAAAATGTAGTCTTTTGCATCTAGCTTCTTTTACATGTTAATGCCTTTGAGCTTTCTCCATATTGTAGCACGTATTGTAGTTCTTTATTTATATTGCTGAGTACATGGAAATACCACATTTTGTTTATTCACTTACCAAAAGAAAAAACATTTAAATTATTTACTATAATGTTGCTATCAACATTTGCTTATAATCTTTGTGTGGACATATGTTTTCATTTCTCTTGGGTAGATACTTAGGAATGGAATGGCTGGGTCATATGGTAAGTATATACTTAACTCTTTGGTATATTATAAAACTGTTTTCCAAAGTGGCTGTACCACATTGCATTCCCAAGAACAATGTATGAGTGTCCCAGTTTCCCCATATCCTCCCCAACACTTGGTATGGTTGATCTTCTTGATCATAGGCATTCTAGTGGATGGTTTTCCTTGTGGTTCTAATTTACATTTCACGAATGACTAATAAGAATCTTTTAAGGTTTTTAGTAACCTTTCAAATATTTTTGTTGGTAAAGTATCCAAATTTTTTTGCCCATTCAAAAGATTGCTATTGTCTTAGTATTGATTTGTAAG